ACCCATCCACCCACCCACCATCTACCTCACCCACTCATCTCCCTACTGTATTCCTCACCCACCCTGGCACCTACCTGCCCACTGTCTACCTCCACCTAACCACCCCATCTACCTAACATCTAAGTCATCTATCCAAGCATTCAGCCACCCATCTAGCCACCTACCATGCACCTTATCCATCCACCCATCCGTCAGCTATGTTACCACCTATCTCTGTACTATCTACAATCTATACATACCTATCTATCTTCCCTTGCCACCCATCCATCCTGTCAAACATCCCCCATTCGCTCCTGTGGGGAAGCCAAACCTATATACCTCTCGATCTATGCAACCCCTACTCGATTCGATGAGTGAACAATTCAGTAATGTCTTGGCTTAGTTCAGTGGTTCTCAATAAGGGGCAACTCGGTAGTGCCTCGGTGGAGGCCAGGGCTGCTGCTCCACACCTGAAGCACACAAGAATATCTGGCCCCAGTGGCTACGGTGGGTGCCGACGGGAGAGCTGGACCCAGCCTCCTCCGACAGGGCATCACCAAGTGTCATTGTTCCTCAGTGGCCTGCAGCTGTCTTTGCAGATGAGTGACAGGAACGGTTGAGCGTCCAGCTGGGGGCTTTGAAAGGGAAGGTGCAGGGTCCACAGCACCGGGCAGCCACCTCACCTGCCACCACGGCTTCTCAGCCTCAGCCTCAGCAGGCACCTCAACGCCGTAGACCTGCAGGGCCAGGTAGAGCACGGCCACAGCCAGGTGCTGCGCCTGGAAGCGGAGACACAGCCCGCCATGGTAGCTGTCCCGCAGCAGGGCCCAGGCTGTGACAGAGACGGGAGTCCGCTGCCAGCTGTAACGGTTCAGCCAGTTCTTGAGGGAAACCAGGTAGTGGAGCAGGTACTGCAAAGACACACAAGTCAACCAGGGCAGTGCCTCACCTGCCCCTACCCTGCCCAGGCTGCCGCAGGCAGGCACACATGGGTCACTGAGGGGAAAGTCCCACCCCTTCACGGTGCCTCCACACCCTTTCTGCTGGGCATGCTGCATCCCAGGGCCCTTCCACTTCTTGTCTTTATCTTTTAGAGACAGGGTCTCCCTACACAGCTGAGGCTGATCCTGCACTCACGGCAATCCTCCTGCCTCAGCCTCCCGAGTACTGGGATGACAGGCATGCATCACCATGCCCCGCTGGCCTTTGCACTTACCTCCCACCCAGGGCCCACAACCACCACTCCCATTCTCCAGGCGCAGCACGGGGAAACCTGCTCGGGCCATCCTTGCTGTGTGACGGGACAGGAGGGGTTTATTACAAAACAACTCAGAAATGTTTACAAAGAAAGGACTATTCTGCACCAGAAATCACCAGTGTACAAAACTATTTTCACTGCAGCCCTGTCCCCAACTCCTCCAAGGACAGAGTGGAAGGCCAGGGAGGTATTTTGCTCCGAATGCCTTCAGGGCAGGTTTGGCTGGCTTGAGTTGTGGGGATCGAACCACAGCAACCTGAACCTGACTGCTTTGTTGAAGCAGCCACTTAAAGAACTGAGCTAAGGGGCAGGCCCCCAGGGAGGTATTTTGCTTTTTAAAAAACTATTTAGCCAAACACTGATACACACCTATAATCCCAGAACCCTGGAAGACTGAGACAGGAAGATGCAAATTTAGGCCCAGCCTGGGCAACTAAATGATTTAGTGAGGACTTGTTGCAAAACAAGCAAAAAAGGGGCTGGGCACTTAGCTCAGTAAGGCCCGAGGGAGGGCTGGGGCCATTTCCTCTATTGCATGTCCAGCCCCACTTCTAAACCGACGTGTGGGCCCATTCACATGTGTCTTTTAAACAGAGGCCTAGAGCCAGGCATGGTGGTGCATACTTGTGGCCCCAGCACTGAGGAGGCTGAGGCAGGAGGATTGCAGTGAATTTAAGCCCAGCCAAGGCTACAAAGTTAGTTCAGCGCCAGCCTGAACTACATAGCAAGAAAGTTCCTGTCTCAAAAAGAGAAAAAAAATAAACAAAATTAAATAAAATAAACTGAGGCCCAGGGATGTGGTTGCTGCTAGGCACCAAAGGCCCACCTCCCACGTATGAGCTGGCAGGGCAGGGGCACCTGGCAACCAACTGTCCCTGGCCCCCACAGCCCACCCCTACCCCAAAGCAGGTCCTTGTTTCTAAACCAAACTACATGCCCCAAACTGAGCACCCACCAAGTAGGGTGCAGAAGGGCTAGGGTGGAGCTCAGTGGCAGATCGTTTGCCTGGCATACATGAGGCCCCAGGTTTAATTTCCAGCAATGTCCCCCCAAATTTAAGCCAGGTATAGTGGTGCACGCCTATCACCCCAGCACCCTGGAAGCTGAGGCAGGAGGACTGCTACAAGCATGAAGTCAGCCTGGGGGCTACACAGTGACTTTCTTTATTCTTGTTCTTGACACAGGGTCTCACTGTGTTCAGGCTGGCCTCAAACTTCCAGTGATCGTGCTGCCTCAGCCTCCTGAGTGCTGGGATTATGAGCGTGCACCACAAGTCACAGCCATGTAGTGATTTCAAGGCCAGCCTGGACTACATAGGGAGACACTGTCTCAAAACACCAAAACAAATTTAAAAAGAAAAAGACAACAAATACACATCTACACACCTGTCTACAAGTTTTTTGGTTCCACATTAAATATAAAAAAAACTACTCTGTTTTGTCTTTAAATGGGGGAACCAAACGATACGGAGGCTTTCTTCCTTTAAGGGAGCTCTGTGTCCATGGGCATCCTCTGCCCAGGAAGCGAACCCTAGGCCTTGTACTTCGCTAGCCCCTTCCCTTCCTGAGTCCCTACGTCTACGGGAACTCTGGCTATGCTGTGGCCGTCCTGACGGCCATCCTTCCCACAGACCCTTCAGCCCAGGCCCCCGCAGGCCACCATGGGAAATCACTGTGTAGAACTGTGGGCATTCCCGCCTGTCTCAAGGCACTGCTTGCAGGACTAGACATTGGCAACCATGTTTTTCTGGCTGGCACCAAGGAGCTAAGTGGTGCTAGGCCTGCCTGTAATCTCTTCAGGACCCCAGCCCGGCAGTGGGCTCAGGCCAAACCTCACACATGCACAGGCCACAGGGAGCACCCGGACACCAGGAGCATGTGCATGTGAGTGAGCTGTGTATGCTAACGAAGGGCCTTACAAGTGAGGAGTGGGCTGGCAGGTAGCTTGGCAGTCTAAGCACCTGCTTGGCAAAGCACAAGGACCCGAGTTTGAGCCCCAGCATAGCATGTTGTGCTGGCCCAAAACCTGACATGGCGCATGCCTGTAATCCCAGCGCTGGGGAGGCTGAAACAGGAGGATCACTATGAGTCTGAATTGCATGGCAAGACCCTATATCAGATAAATAAATTTTTTTAAAAAGTGAAGAGTGGGGGGCTGGTGAGATGGCTCAGTGGTCTAAAGCACCTACTTAGAATAAGCTTAGCAAAAAAAAA